TTGTTGTTGTTGTTGTTGTTGTTGTTGTTGTTGTTGTTGTGATAGTGATAGTGATAGTGGTAGTGGTAGTGGTAGTGGTAGTGGTAGTGGTAGTGGTAGTGGTAGTGGTAGTGGTAGTGGTAGTAGGAGCAGGAGGAGGAAGGAGGAGGAGGAGGAGTTGTCGCAATAGTGCGTACGTAGTTGTGGTAGCAGTACTACCTCTGACGGTAGAGATTTGGGGAGATTGTTAGAGCAAACCTTCGAGGTATAGAGTTGTTGTTCTATATTGAAGAAGCCGAAGAGATACGTACTAATTGTGCAGGCGCTCATGTGGGGCATTTTGGTTGATTTTGGCAAGGATGGCGTGGGTTTTGAAGTTTTAGAGTTCGGAGCCTAGGATTCCCTGGCACCCTTTAGAGTGGGAGGTTTATGGTTTAGGGTTTTAACTTACAGCACGGGTGCCCTGCTCCTTCGGAACACCGAAACAGCTACACAGCACAGAAGAAGTACAGGGCCTTGATTTTAGTGATGGATTTATGCGGTCTTCGTACGTGTGATGTAAGTGCCTTGACAAGTAGAATGAAGTTCAGGGGAGTATCAATACTGCTGATATAGGGAAACCTGAGCAGCAACATGGCCGATTTGTTCAAGCTTTCATAGTATTCCAACCCTCGTCCCGCGCCTCGGGAGCTCTGGAAGTTAGAGGTTTTCGGAGCGCAAAATTTGTGCTGTTGCGGCTTAAAGCATCAGAGCCGCAGCATATCTGCACCCCTACATGGTAAGGTGTTTGGCCAGGGTCAACCCTGCACCGTAAACCCCAAACCCGAAACCCCACACCCTAGCCTAAACCCGTCAACCCTAAACCCTAAACCCCAAACCCTGAACCCTGAACCCTAAACCCTACACCCTAAACCCTAAACCCTACACCCCAAACTCCAAATCCTGAACCCTCCGAACCCTCCACCCCAAACCCTGAACGCTAAACTCTAAACCCTAAACTTTCAAGCCCGGCTTCCAAACTCTAAGGTTTAAGCAAGTTTAGGGGTTAGTTAGGGCTTGAGGCCGTCGAAGTCATGTGCTCTGATCCTTCGCCTTGCATTAACTCGAAAGGCTTCATTCCCCAATTAAGCAATCCTCGTTTTGTTTTGGGCTTTAGGGTTCAGGGTTTAGGGTTTGGTTTACGGTGAAGGGTTGAGGGCTCAGGGTTTAGTTTAGGGCTTCGGGATTAGGGGTTTGGAGCCCCACAATCCGGAAGCGTATGGAAAAGAGGGTCGTTGTATGGTTGCCCTCATTACTGTCCTACCGGTCGCCTACTCGAAGTCCTGAACCCAACAACCCCAGTTTTGCTTTAGAGCTTCTTGATTAGGGATTTGGAGGCCCACAAGGACTTGGGAGTAGAAAATTTAGGGCCCTAAACCCTAAACCCTAAACCCTAAAGAACGACACCGAGTGGCACAGTCTCTGACTGCTTGTTGCCGAAGATCACATCTATGTCCGGCACGTAGAAGGTGTACCTCAGGAGCCCGCAGCTCTTCCCAGGGTTTAGGGTTTAGGGTTTAGGGTTTCCTCTTTGTGGCTTATATTTAAGATCCTATTAGGTAATCCCAAAAAGGAACTACTATGGGGCCTGTGGGTTTACTCCTGGCCCTAAACCCTAAACTCCAAGCCCTAAGCCCTGAACCCTAAGCTATGAACCCTAAACCGCTGAACCCTGTAACCTAATCGTGAGGTGCCGAATCCTGAAAGACCCTACCCACCCTCGAACACTAAAGTTCCCAAAACCCAGAATCCTACACCTAAGCGTAGGATTTTCAAGGGTTTAGGGTTTAGGGTTTAGAATGTCGGGAAGATTCTGTAAATCCCAGCCCCCTAACCCAAGGCTTGGCGGTGTGAAAGCCTGCGATCAGGGCCCCCGAAACCAGAAATGCAACCTTTATCCCGAGGACCCCTGCAGAGAGTCCAGGGTTTAGTTGTTTATGGCTTAAGGCCCTGAAGCCCTAAACCCGTAAACCCTAAACCCCTAAACCCTAAACCCTAAACCCCTAAACCCTAATTGAGGGATTCAAAAATTCAAGCTTACGGCTTGGGGGCTTGGGGGCTTCAGGATGTTGGGCCCGGAAAGAGCAGAGCTTTGAGGGTCTAGGGTTTAGGGTTTAGGGTTTAGGGTCTAGGGTTTAGGGTTTAGGGTTTAGGGTCTTACAGAAAGACGTCACCCTCTGATGCTTGTTTGGCTTAAGAGCGGCTACGAACAAAGCTCTTGGGTCATTTGATGAGTATGCTCTGTAGTCGCTGATGGTTGCACCATAGGCACAACCCTTGTACAATAAGTGCCTTAGAGAACCACGAACAGCTTTTGGCTACAGGTGTTGCTGTGTGGAAAAAGATTCAACTTACCTCTGCGCGCTTAGCCATGGAGGGCTTAGCATAAGCCGTGGAGGTCGACCAGGACAGAACTGCTTTATCGCAGTTTTCTAGGTTATGAGCGCCCAAGGAACCACTGCTAAGCTGGCAAATGGGGTTGTGACTCGTGATGATCCGGCCCCATCGACGTCAATGGCTGCTGAAGTAACGGCGGCTTCAGAGGTTCAAGGGACTTCAGACATACTAAGTGTGCATCAGCCAGCTGCGGGACCTGTTGTGGAGGCGCAGGGTGATGTGCAAGGCGTACAGACGGTGCAGCCTTTCCAGGCCTTGGAGACTGCAGCTGGTGTGCGGCAGGCGAAGCCCAAGGAAGCTTCGACGATCGCAGAGCCAGGCAGTAGATCAGATCAGATCTGGAGCAACGTGCTGGTGACCGCAGAGCCGAGGAAATGTCTGGAGGGTTTGTTACTCCGAAGTCTGCCAGTGGGCAAAGGGGTATAGTACAACAGGCCTGGATAGGAGGTCTGGAGGTTCCGCGATGGATGATGAGGCTGGGGATTGATTTAATCTTATTTCTAAAATT